AGATTATAATCATATGTATAGTATTGTGAAATTGTAGATTCACAATAATTACTAAATAATTTTTACTCACAAACAGGTTTCCGAAAAATCCGGATCAAAGAAATGCATGGATAAATTTTTGTAAGGACGAAGGATTTAATATAAATTTAGATTTTAGATTTTAACATTGCTCTTATGGAAATACTGCACGAGTGCAATCTCAATGAAAAACGCCATTAAAATTTGGTATTATTGTTGCATATTTTAGTTATTTTCTTTTAATTGTACATTATTTCCTAATTAAACATAACAAGTCATTCAATATTGGCGCCCTTGAGCGGCCATCTTGAGCGACCACTTTATATAGTCACTTCCGTCCGCACTTTTAAGACCAAACGCTCCCTCCTGTTTCTTTTTACTCAATGGGTTTTACTGAGGTAACCTTCTCTCTATAGATCTTGCTTTGTAACCGCGATTGCCTGCCTTACATCCGGCAGGCAATCGCGACTAATCGATTCGAGCGACCATCTAATCACCGCGCACGCGCCCGAACCATCGATCAGTTCGATCGATAATCGACACCGCTCGCACGTATCGATCCATGCGCTCGCAGCAATCTAGAGCTAACCACGACACACGCGCTTGCGCCGACGCTTCCGCGTCGCCGTACGACCACCGTTAGGCCCGATCTATAATAGGTGTAGTAAGCCTTTAGCCTTTAGGTCTAAGCTTTAAGCTTGCTTTGAATCTTAGGCCGGATCTACAATAGGTGTAGTAAGCTTTAAGCCATAAAATATTGACCAATCATAGTCAATTATTCTTTACACATTCGTCTGTGAATGGACAATTTCTTACGGCCTAAAGCTTACTACACCTATTGTAGATCCGGTCTTAAGCTTTAGAAAATGTTCTTACAACATGACAATATACAATGTGTTCGAGTCGTAAGACGTAACAATCAGTGAAATACAGTCAAGGTGACAGCTGACAGCAAGTTATAGGTTATGTTTGCATTCTTCAAGAGTGGAAAATAAAATATTACCCCTTCTTACCTTGACCCATTTGCAAAATGTGCTTATATACATTGCCGGCCAAAAGTTTGGATACACCATTGAAAAAACCAGATATTATTAAAACAAAAACTTTTATTAATATAATTTTGTTAAATAATCAAATAATAATACAAAAACTATAGATATTAAAAAAAACAAATAAGTTAGAATTTAAAGAATTTCTGAAGAAC